CTGTGCAGTTGTTTTGTGTCTCTGTGCAGTTGTTTTGTGTCTCTGTGTAGTTGTTTTGTGTCTCTGTGCAGTTGTTTTCGATCAAATCCTGCACACTGCACCTTTTATTAAGTCATGTTTGTATGAAGATGGGGGTTTAAACTGGCTATCAATGACACAGCGAGTATCCTTCTCCCTGAAAAACACTCATTTCCAATTAAATGCTTGACAAGGGATGTGACATTAAACTGCAGCCGTTAGATTCTCTCTGGGGTTATTTTGTTTTACAGCCTTTTTACTGCCATAAACATTTGAGGTTATTGTTTTCTCCCTCCGAGTGTGCTCTCTAAATTATTATGGAGGCATTAACAAGAGGTTGTTTTTATAGTCTCGGATGCATCGACCCACCGGTTATACTTATAATGTTCAGGAATATTCACAGCTTCTCTGGTAGAAGCAGTTTCACTGGCAAACTGACAGCAGTAAACCCACCTGCATCTGTCGCCTAGACTCATTTAGAAAAACCTAATGTAGAAGTGCACCTACTCTATAATTACCTAACTTTTCCTGCTTCTTCTCAATAAGCAGCTTTTAAATATTATCTTATTGCCTTTTTACGAATGACTCATTGCTCATAAAATGGAGAAGAAAGTGGACAAATATGCCACATGTGCTCAACCCAGGCTTATAAAAGGTGAACGAAGGCTTCACACCAAGTTGAGCTGTGAACCTTCAGTCCATCTAGCAGCATTTAGCTCAGACAGCTTCAACCACAATGATAAAGCAGAATTCCATCTGAAAAAATAATGAGCATCAGTGATGATCCCATAATCTGTCCATACATATAAATCAACAATATCTCTGACGTTCCCATTAAAGGGCCTGTTTGTTGCATTTCGGGGATCTATTAGCATCGCTATGTTTTCATTCGCGTATAATCACCTTAAGCTAAGAATCGTTCGGTTAGCTTAGCATGACTCCTTCATATCTACGTAGGGAGCGGGTCCTCTTCACACAGTCCGCCATGTTCTACGGTAGCCCAGAACGGACAAACCAAACACTGGCTCCAGAGCGCTTGTCACATTTTTACATTGCCTGCCACCGCGGTTCAACGACACGCCTGTGAAACTTTGATAACGTGGTCAGCTTTATTAGTGATCAATAAATAATTGATAACAACCTCAAACATATTCTTTGGGGATTTACAATAAAAACACCTGGGCTGCTACACTACGACACTCGTATTGTTGTTCTGTCGCTTTAATTCATCAGAGAGACCTCTCTACTAAGAACTACCTGCTGAACATCAGCATGTCGTTATTGTTAGCATACTAACTCTCAGAGCCGCTAGCATGGCTATGCTGTATTGTTAACAGAACATGTAACAAACCTGTGGTGTTTAAAAGATGTGTGAGCATTTACCAGGCAGGGTGCATCATGGGAAGTTAAGCATTCATTGTAACTATAAATCAGGAGATTTCTGCGTCTGCTGCTCTGATTTCTGACCGTCCGTCACTGAGGAAGTGTTTTGTTTTTAAGAAGTTTTGCTCAATTTAAAAAAGCTGAGTTGCATCTAAACCAATGCTGTCAAGAGTTATACTGTGAAGAAGACCGAAGTGAGGTTGTTTTTTTGGCTGTGAACCTGCTGAGTGTCTCTGGTTCCTCTTCAGGTCTCTGCTGTCAGTTTGGAGCGTCAGGATTCCTTCAGTCCTCATTTCCTCCAAAGCTGAACAGACAGAGACGCCCGAGGCTTAAAATATCTGCGTTCTGAATCGTTTCCTTCACTGAAGAACGTCGAGGCCTTTTCAGATCTGTTCGCTCCAGATGGGACTTGAGTCGCCGGCAGACCGAACAAACACACAGCTGAGGCTCAGAGCTCTGCTTTCTGTCCGTCGAGTCTGCCTGAAGTCTTTGCTTCTGAACCGTGCAGCTTCACAGTCGTCCGCTCGGCATCAAAGACTTTCTGTTTCCCAGTTGATTATTCTGTGTTCTTCTCCTCCACGCTCCTATTTCCTCTTGTTAGTGGTTTGGCTCTGACACACACATTTGTTCTCTCCACAACATTTTGTGTTCTTTCCCCTTGTGACATCCTGTTCTCATGGCCACATTATGACACAACAGGTCCCGGCACAGACATACAAAAGGACCCACCACCTCTCCTGCATACATGAAAAGCAATCTGCGCCGGTGTTATAAGGAGCATCATACAATATGGCGTTGGTTGCACATTGAGAGGAGGGTCGGCTAATATGTTTGGGCGTAGCATGACACTGAAGACCTATCGTCAACCCAAAAACAAAATTCAGCAATCCTGCTCTAAGCTTACCCTGTGGCCATGCAGCCCTTCCCCTTATGAGGCACATTTTGTTTGTAACAGTCCTTCTGGTTCTCTCTTGTGTCCGTGTGCAGTGGCAGTCCATCACCATCACCCTGGTGGAGAAGGTGCAGATCATCGCCGTGTTCCTGGGCTCTCTCTTCCTGGTGGCCAGCATCTCCTGGCTGCTGTGGTCAGCTCTCAGCCCGCAGGCCATCTGGCAGCGCCGCGACGTCCTCTTCCAGATCTGCTACGGCATGTACGGCTTCATGGACCTGGTCTGCGTAGGTGAGCCTCCCAACGAGTCGTGACAAATGTACAGAAGTTCCTCCTGGTCAGAATATCTGTTAAACTTAAAGCCAGGGTTAGTAATGTGAGTCATTTGAAACTAGCTAGAGTATGCTGAATTGCCAACTCTAAACAACGAACATGGCTTCTGTTTGTACTCACAAGTAGATGGGTAGAAAGGTAGGTAGAGGCTGGTGAGAGTTAAATAATTGTCTGGGCTCATTACAGTCCTGCGACAGCCACAGATTTTTCTTTTTACTGCAGGGAAATGAAGAAGAGTTTGGTTGTAACATTTGTTTATCCAGCATGGACTGCAGTCATGAGTCACAGCCTTTTAAGCCCAAGCCCTCAGGAAGAGTGCTGGAGTATGAAGCAGATTTTACACAGTGGCCAAACTTTGAAATTACAATTTCCAGTTCTGTCACAGGACGCCTCGGGGCCCAAAAACACTTTTTACCTTAGACTTACATTGGGAAAGAGACGTCTGTAACTCTTTTTTTGAGGTAAATCAACTGCCCAGTACAAACACTGGAATAGACCAAATCCAGAGTTATTGTCCGTCCTCCATTCATGTGAAAGACAACGAGGCTGGACCGAGGGCTGGGGGGCGGGGCTAAAGGAAACGTTGATGCGCTTGTTCTTTGGGCTTTTATACTCGTGGGTCAAACTTTGTTTTACCTCTTGCTCCACTGAGCAACTTTCTATGGAATGAACGTTGTAACCAGTTCTCTTTATACATCTTTATAAAGCCCCGCTGTGGACCACAAACTGAAGTCTGCAGAGCCCAGTTTGTCAAAGTTTATTAATTATGCCGTGTGTCCAAATTACACCAAATTCAACCAAGCGCCCCTTTGGCAGAAAGACGGACACAGAAAGACGGACGCAGAAGGACGGACGCAGAAAGACGGAGGCAGAAGGACGGACACAGAAAGACAGACGCAGAAAGACGGACACAGAAAGACAGACGCAGAAAGACGGACGCAGAAAGACAGACGCAGAAAGACGGACGGACACAGAAAGACAGACGCAGAAAGACGGACGCAGAAGGACGGACGCAGAAAGACGGACGCAGAAAGACGGACACAGAAAGACGGACGCAGAAGGACGGACGCAGAAAGACGGACGCAGAAGGACGGACGCAGAAAGACGGATGCAGAAAGACGGACGCAGAAGGACGGACGCAGAAAGACGGACACAGAAAGACGGACACAGAAGGACGGATGCAGAAGGACGGAC